AGAACAAAAATTACTTTTAAAAAATTAGCTTTTTTTTTTTTGCTCCCCTGATGGGAGTGCACTGTGAGCTACCACAAGGGGACTGCTGCTCCTGAGAGTGGTGGATGTTACTTGTAGACTGTCTCACTGACATTGGACCATGTCAACTTCACAAAGCTCCTGGGCTAGGGCCGTTGGTCACATTTTACAGCTCAGGGGCATGGAGTCTTTAGGTCACCACCCCACAAGGTGGAGGACCTGGGATCCACCCAGCACCAGCAAAAGGTCCTGTTGTCCAGAGCAGTATCTACTGGGGCTGGTGCTGAAACATCCAATTGGGCTGCCAAAACAGATACCTATGCTTTCTTCTGGATTATGGGTTCTAGGACAAGAGTTTTTCATTGCCAGGGGGGTTCTGGGTAACTTCTTTCCCTCGAAAAGGGGAGAATAGGCCACATCAGTTTGGGAGTTTGAGATCTAGAGTGTCACCATGTCCAGCATAGCACTGCCCAGAGCACCCTCTCAGAAAAATGCTAGACGCAATCCAGTAGGGTCCCTACAACAGAATAAAACACCGTTTGAGTGAGTACCCTCTCCTCACAAGCGTTCTTTGTCTGAGCAACCCACTGCCACAGACACCGTGTCAATCTCCTCTCGAGGAGGAGTCACCTTCTTTCACTGATCCTTCACTTCACCAGGATATCTTTCTCAGGGAACTGGTCCCTTCTGATCACGTGTCAAAAATACGCGAGATGAGGTCTTGCCTTCAAAAGGACAAAAGTGCCATCCCAAAGAGTGGTGTCAAGTGGAAACCCAAGGGCTCCTCATCTGGAAGTGGACAGCTGGTAAGGTGGTGACACTGGAACTATGTATATATACTGGTGGCACCAGCGGCTGGGGGAGGTTGGCCTAGATCAACAGGGCAGACCCTGCCATGGTCTGGAGTTAGGAAGTTGGGAGACACCACCCGAGCAAATGTTGCCAGGACCTTTGCCCCTCAGTGGTGGCTCTGACAACCAAGCCCTCTAGGCTTATGAGGCTCTGCGACGCCTCAGCATCCAAACAGGGCCACGAAAGTCAGCCAGAGATGGAATGGTGGTGCCCCTTGTTTCCCTGTGCACACACTGGCCCCTCCCTACCCCTTTCTCCTTAGGGTATTAGGTGGTGGTGGTGGTGGGGTTTGCCAGTCATATAAATGGATGAACCGGATGAAATTTAAGAACACATATTTTCTGTAGAACCAAGAACAAAATAAAATCCTGAACTATGTTGACATTTTATTTCATGTCTATGTGAACCTTCCCTGTTTCTAGGCACCATTCTCACTCTTATATAATCATTGCAGGTATCAGAAAACACAGTGCTTATTTATATTGAGGCGGCAGGTTGGGAAGAAAGATAAGCAAGATTTGCCTTTTGATACGTACAGTCTTCTGATCACTATGGGATTTCACAGCACGGTGAGTGCTCCTAGTTGCTTCTATGCCAGTTTTGTGCAGGGCCGGGTAAAGGAAGCTTCTGTATTAGTGTTGGTCTTTCCTTTCTTATTCATTATTTGTACTTTTATCTCTATATTATTATTTTATCCTTGCCACTTTTTGTGTGTGTGTTTCTGTGGGATTCTCAGTCTGTGAAGCACGGGATATATGGAGATAATCACGGATGCAATGGTTTGTCAGGGACGGCAGGGCTGAGGATAGGGACAGTGAAGGGATTGAGGAGCAAACAATTAATGTGGGAGGGGAGGAAGCCCTAGAATTGGTTGTGATTATGTATCTACAACTCATTTTAAAAGTGATTTAACCAAAGAAGTGTATGATATATGAATATTATATCAGGAAAACCATGGGGAAAAAAAAAGAAACCAAACTTGACCAATGGTTACCATAGGTGAAGGGGAAAGAATTGTGTCCTATAGGGTAATGAATTATGTCAATGGTGCAGAATAATTTGGAAAAGGGTATCAATAATGGCTGTATAATACAAAGAGTATAATCAATGACACTGAATTGTACACACAGAAGTTGTGGAATTGAAGAATGTTCTGTTGTGTATATTTTTGCCACAATTAGAAAAGAGATTCCAACAGGGGAATTTCTGACCCTCAGCATCAATCTTCCCAAAACATAATTTTTAAGTGTGTGTTGTTTTTTTTTAATCTCCCTCTCGAAAAACACACCAAATATTTAATTCATTCCCGAGAGCAACTCACTGCATACCCATAGCAAGTTCCTTATCTGGGAATCCATGAGGGAGCTCAGGGTCTTGGCAAAAGCATTCCATCCTATCATGTCCATCCTCCCTTCCTATTTCATCAATGTTTTCAGGGGTTCCCAGATGATGGGTATACAAACCCTCTTCCTACAGATAATACAGTAACATCAACTCTTCTTTGCCAAGTGACAAATTCCTGGAAATAGACAAAGACCTGGTGTTGTGATTACTGGCAAAGACTCTGCATGGAGGTAGCGCACCCTTGGCCTCACCAGGGGCAGGAGAGGGTGCAGCTCATTGCTGAGACATTAGGAATCCTCAGGGATGGGGAGGAGGCTAAGGAGGGAGGCTTTCAGAGGAAACTCAGGGGAATAAGAAAGGGAACTGTCTCAGCCTGGAGAACACTGCCAACTCCAGTGTGGAATTCCAAAGTCTTATTGCTGAGTTCACAAGTCTCTGGGTTGGCTGCATCCAGCATGGCATTCATGTTCTGCTCAGAAGGCAGTGCTGTGCTGACAAACGTACTTTCCAAATGCCCCAGTAGAGAAAAAGCAGTTGGAACCAACTACAAATCAGCAGAGTTTGGCTTGGCGCCTCAAAGAGTATCAGTGCCATCTAGTGGCAACTCTCACAGGCTCATCAACAAAGATACTGGTATGGTTCCTGCTCCCCTGCCTTTTCAAAGCACTGGGTGGATGGGCACTTCTCTGGGACCAGCTGGGCTGGCTGAGTCACACCTCCACAGGTTCTCACTTCTCAGACTTCCTTACACACAGCTTCATTCCCCTGGTGCTCCCACTGCCAAGCACCTGCAGACCTCATTTGAAGCCGGAGAGAAGGGAGTCTAGAAGGGGAATGTGGCCAAGCACAAGGAACATTAAGTCTCACAGCACACATTGGTAGGGGGTCACTTTACTCTATGCTCCCCTCACTAAAAACAGTGCTTGGGGCGTGGGGGGGGGGGCAGCAGGCAGAGGCAGGGTGCACCAGACAGAAAACCCCCCTTTGAACAGACAGAGCCAGCTATTCTCAATTCCTAGATACGACCAGGCTCTCATCAAGTCCCTAGCCACATTCCTAAACCTAGATCTACCCCCTCGCCCCTGATCTGCCTGCTCCCAGGGACTCAACTGTTTCTCACTCCCAACTCTGAAATCTTTCTCCAGTCCGGACTCTTTCTGCATTCCTGACCCTGTCCCTCTGGCAAGACTGTGTGCTGGACATTGGAAAACACATACACACAGATGTCACTATGTCTAGCATGGAATTCACATTTCCACCACTGCATGGCTGCAATTGCTTCCTGTTCTATTTCTGATTGTGGGCACTATCCATTTAACTACCTTAACCAGAGTTTCTCCCTGCCCAGAGTTTCACACCTCACCACCATCATCAGTTAGAAGAAACTCAAACATTAAGAGTTTACCATACACAGGATACTCCTCACTCGTGCTGTGCCTCCACTTTTGCAGTGGACAAAGAGCCACAGTGCTCATTCTGGCCCTGCTTGTTCACCCACAAGGCACTGACCACATGGCCATCTTCATGTGCCAGCCTGTTACAAGGAAAGCTTCCACCTCTTAGGAACTTCTGAAAACTTCTCATGGGCCCAGGTTGGAAGATCACCAGCCTCCCTTCTCTTTCGCCTTCCAAATTATAGAAGTACTTTCACTGGAGAACACTCACTCTAGAAAATGTGATTCCCAGCATCCCATCCACCCTGATGTGACTACATCTAGATTCCCCAGAAGGAACAAGTGCAAAGCCCTGCAGGGCCCCATTCACGAACCTACCCCACCACACTTCACGTATCAAAAGATCCAGACTGCTACAGCTCACATGCTTGGCTCACCTCTCCTCTTCAATGGACCATCACTCCTCCCCCTTCCTTCCCAATGCCTTAGTGACTTTTGTGTGGGCAGCCCCCTGCAGGCGGGCCACTGCCTGGCATACCAAGAACACAGAAAGCACTCACATTATGCTTTCATCCTTCTAAGATGCCAGAGACTGCAGGACCAACAGTAGGGCAACTGGCTTGGATGGGGACCCAAGTATTCATTGCATGCAGTAAGTTTAAGGAATGTATGCAGATTCCAGGAAGAAATGTTGATGTACAAATCAAAAGGTGTATTAGTCCTTGCTCCTACCCCACTCCCTCATTGCATTTCTTTACTCCCTACAAGGCCAAGACACAGTCGCATTCAGCTGAGAGGGGAAGTGCTTATCTAGACAGATGCCAACACCAATAACAACTGAAAGTGGTTTACCAAGAGCTGATCAATTTGAAGACACGTTCTTAGTTGACTGGGAAGAAGTCTACCTTAAGAGACAAAAGATTTTCACAAGCCAGGTACGGCCAGACAGCTCTTATTCAAGTCAGATCTTATAAGGGAAGGACTCAAAGATATCAGTGAAGGTACAGATATTCATTCACTATGACACTCAGTCCTTTTCTGAAAGAAGTGTTGACTGGACTTTGAAAATAGCAGGAAAAGGATGAGGATGGGAGAACTAAGTCCAGACTGGAACCACAAGAAAGAAAATTGGTGGCGCAGTGGAGGTAAAACAAAACCTAAATAGTACACTTTAGCATCTGCCCTGTAAGAGGCAGGCCCAACAACAGGACCTTGAGATTTTGTGGCAGGACTCCCACCTCTCTAACCCCAAGACACCAAGCTCCAGATGCTTTTAGGAAAAGACAAGCACCCAAATCCTTCCCATGGCTCTGCTTACAGGTAACAGACAACTGGGCCACTGGAGTGGCCGAACCAACATCCTCCTAGGGTAAAATAGAGCATGTCCCCTACCTTACGGCAGCGAGGGTTGGGACAGCTGAACCTCTTCACATCACTGTCCAGCAGAGCAGGAAAGCTGCAGGAAGGACACCTGGAGACACAGAAAAGAGTTGGAGTTACTCAAGGTACACTTCCAGTCTCATGAGCTGAGGGACAGCTCACCTGAAGATGGGGTTTTGGGTTGGACAGCTACACTACCTTTTTAAAAATATGGATTTATACAAAGTATTCAGGATTTACCTTCCTTTAAAATTTTCTGTGGTAAAACTTATTTAACAAAACCGTTACCACTCTTATCATTTTAAAGTGTACAATACATTTACCACCACTACCACCACCACCATAAACCAAACCATAGTTGCTATCCAGTCCCTTCCCACCCCTGGCATGCCTGTGTGTGTCAGGGGGAAAATGTGTTCCTTAAGGTAGTCAATAGCAGATTTTTGGGGGTAAGCAGATCGCTTATGTCAACTTAAAGTCATATGTTATACTAGTAACATATTAGATTAAGTATTACATTCTGAGGTACTGCTGGGTAGACACAACCTAGTGATTAGTGGTGAGCACGCCAACCATTTGGACTGCCCAGAAATCCGGCTTCTTTTTCAGTAAATGTGAGGGAGCACCCCCACCATACTGGTTCTGACCAAGCAATACAGGGCCCCTCCAGGAACTGGCTGAGCACAAACCACGCAGCAAGCACACCCCACACTAAGCCTGCTGCAAGTCTGCAAGTGAAGAGCTCATCCCTTGGCTCAACTTCCTTTCTTTCTTTTTCAAATCATTTTATTAGGGGTTCATACAACTTTTTTTTTAATACAACTCTTATCACAATCCACACATACATCAATTGTGTAAAGCACATTTGTACATTCATTGCCCTCATCATTCTCAAAACTTTTGCTCTCCACCTAAGCCCCTGGCATCAGCTCATTTTTTTCCTCTCCTTCCCCGCTGCCCCCTCCCCCATGAACCTTGATAATTTATAAATTATTATTTTGTCATATCTTTCACTGTCCGACATCTCCCTCCACCCACTTTTCTGTTGTCCACCTCCCAGGGAGCAGGTTATATGTAGATCCTTGTAATCAGCTCCCCCTTTCCAACCCAGTAATGCCACTCACACCACTGGTCCTAAAGGGATCATCCGCCCTGGATTCCCTGTGTTTCCAGTTCCTATCTGTACCAGTGTACATCCTCTGGTCTACCCTTGGGTCAACTTTCAGTCACATGATACTGAGGCTGCTAAGGTAGACAACATAGCACTGAGGTACATAGCCCTAGAGCAGTAGTTCTCAACCTTCCAATGCTGCAACCTTTTAATACAGTTCCTCATGTTGTGGTGACCCCAACCATAAAATAATTTTCGTTGCTATATCATAACTGTATTTTTGCTCATGTTATGAATCAGGCGACCCCTGTGAAAGGGTCATTTGACTCCCAAAGAGGTCGCAACCCACAGGTTGAGAACCGCTGCCCTATAGTAAACCACCATTCCAGATCCAAAGGGCCACATTTGACTAGGAAAAAAAACACTAAGAAAACAGGACACGACAAGAAAAAAGTTTGAATAGGAACAGAGGGAGGATGGGAGGAGAGTACATTTTTACACTGCACGGATTGTAGGGTACTATGAAACAAAATGCCTATGAACTGTTGAAAGAATGGAAAACCATTTTACCTTGTAAATGTTTCCCAAAGCACAATAACAGCACAGAAGCACACATACCCTCCCCCTGATAAGAGGACAGTCCTAGTGGTCCATGATGCAGAGCTCTGCTGTCCACCAGAAGGGTTGGTGGCTTGAACCAACCCCGCAGCTATGGAGGTTCTGGCGTGATGGTAGAGAAAAACCCGCTCGCTCAGAGATTACAATCTTGGAAGCTCTATGGGATAGTTCCCTTATCACAGGGGTCACCTGAGTTGGAATCAACCCAAGGGCAACCCATCACAGCTGCCTTTCTGAGAGTTCCTAGAAGTTGCCATTCTTTTTCTAACTCAATGGCTAATGGTCCTACCCCTCAGTCAACAGCTGAAGAGCCTCCCAAGGCAACAGCTGGGAGGGGGTTGGGGGTCACCACAACATGAGGAACTGTATGAAAGGGTAGCGGCCTTAGGAAGGTTGAGAACCACTGTCCCAGGGTATGCTGATGCAAACAAGGCCACCGACTACCCAGTAAGAATGATACCCTTTTGTTTTTCAGCAAGAAATGTCAAGTGATCTAGGAGGCAGAGCTTCACTAAGGAAAGCTCATGATCTGGTAGAAGTGCTCACACAGCCTTCAGACCAGGATGGCAGGCCACCCAACTCGAAGAACTTACCTGACAAGCTCATCAGCGTAGGCTGCAGCAACCTCTTCCTCAGCTTTCCGTTCATAGTACTTATACAGAATGGTCTGGGGCAGCACCTTTTCCAGTTCACTGGTTGGGAAGGAACACGTGCAGCTGCCTTCCATGCAGCTGAGCTCGGACTGCAACACAAAACAGAAAATTCAACCAGGTTTCCAAGAAATGAAACAAAACGCCTTGGTAATTCCGTACATCTTCAAGAGAAGGCAAATTAATAGTGATTAGGAAGACAGATTCTGGGATGGCGGAGTAAAGATCTCTACTTCTTCCTCCTAGGATGGTGGGTGACGGTGGTGGAGAGGGGACACTCACAAATGAGACAAAAATAATGACTTCATCTGATACCTCCAGAGGACCTCGATCTGCCCAAGTCACAACAGAAGACAGAAGAAGGTCATAGTGCAGTGTCTACCCTTAGTAAATGCTAATATACCCCTCACGCCCCAAAAGAAGAACCCACAGCATTGAATTGCTACCAACTCACAACCTGCAGGACAGGGTAGAACTGCTCCTACAGGGTTTCCAACGCTGTAATCTTTATAAAAGCAGATTGTCACATCCTTCTGCACAGGGGCTGGTGGGTTTGAACTCAATGCCCAATGAAACAGTGTTCATCAAATAATGTATTTCACTGGACAAAGACGTCACTTTGAGGACTAAGCTATGCCTCGGCTCAAGTCATGGTATTTCAATCACCTGGTATGCAGTATGCACCAAGTGGGCAATGAAGGAGAAAGACCAAAGAACGAAGTACTTGTATTATGGTGTTAGCGAAAAACACTGATTATACCACAGGGTACCAAAAAACCCCCAAATCTATCTTGGAAGAATACTGCCAGAATACTCCTTAGATGCAAGGATGGTGAGATTTCATTTGAGTATTTTGGGTATGTTATCATATCCAAAGTAAAGAGGTCAATCAAAAAGGGGTAGCCCCTCAACACAACGGACTGAGCACTGGCTCCAACAAGGACAGTGTAGGACCGGGCAGTGTTCACTCTTGTACACAGGCCAAGGGTAAGTGAGACCAATTTGTCAGCAACTAACAAGATAAAACAAAAGTTCCTTCCCGATTGTGCTACACTGGTGACTTTGGCCTTGTATAAAATAGTTATTTGTTTTAACCCAACTATAAACTCCTTAAAAATGTTTGTAAAAACCTATCATCACTGTGTAATATGCTCAATAAGATGTAAAATTGTCTTGTTCAGTTCCACTGCTACTGAGAATACAAACAGAATAGAGCAGTGAGGTGTGGGGTCACAGAAGAATTACAGCATCCCGGGAAAAATGAGGACCTAATGCCGGGGGCTTAAGTGGAGAGGAAATGTTTTGAGAATGATGAGGGCAATGAATGTACAAATAAAAATTTATAAATTATAAATTATCAAGGTCTCATGAGGGAGTGGGGAGGGAGGGGAAAAAGAAGGACCTAATGCCGGGGGCTTAAGTGGAGAGCAAATGTTTTGAGAATGACGAGGGAAGTGAATGTACAAATG